AAGCTGCTGGTGAGGTAGATTTAGCCTTTTCCCGAGACATGGTGGGTGAGTTAAAGAACTCAACCTTACCGTTTGGTTGCTGCAAAAGAAATGTATAGAGTGACGTCATTAAGCGGCCAACATGTGATCCACGTGACTTATTTCCACCAAAGAGTGATACACGCCACCTGTATCAGTACAGATAGATAGGCTTCCTTGCTTAAAAAACGTAAATATTGCTCAATGTATGCAAGTCTGTAATAATTCTTGTTTGTCTATATGGGATTCCGATGTTACTGACTATTCGAAAGTGTGTGTGTGTGTGTGTGTATGTTTGTGTGTGTGTGTGTGAGTTTGTGTGTAGTAGTAGTAGTAGTAGTACCTACTCAAGGCAATTGATGAAAGCCTCCGTTTTGAGTCTGAAGACCTCATCCTACAATTCGACGGTTCTTTTCTTATAGGAACGATCAAAGTGAATTTTCCGAGCTGCTGTAGGTTCGTAATCACCATTAGAGGCATCAAACTCTTTCGAAATCCTCTGAATTGTCCTCAGATTGACAACCAAACACTCTGAAATGTTCGTATTCGAGCTTCCAGCGCAAATGCCAAGCAGTACAGCATACCGTTTTCAATTTTTTGGCAACTGCGTCATGGTGCTTTTTTTCTCACGGACAGTGTCAGCTGACAATATATATATATATATATATATATATATATATATATATATATATATATATATATATATATATATTGTTCTATGGGGGGCAATATGCTTAATATTTGAGCAGAGAAGGTGGATTCTTCTAAATTGTATGGACAGAAAAAGCCTTACTGAATAGTGACTAGCATTTCCAAGTATTAAGCGATCATATGTATCATTAAGGCATAAAACTGCCTGTCACGATTTCTGTGTTCATACCCTTTATCTTACTTTCCTTCTCTCTCTCTTCTTTGTGTGTCTGACAGTCAGTCTCTCTCTCTCTCTCTATATATATATATATATATATACACACACACACACACACACACACACACACACATATATATATATATATATATATATATATATATATATATATATATATATATATATTAATTTAATATTGTATGTCTTTGCGAACTAAGATTTCTGAAGGTGTTTCGACTAATGATTTGCGGGACTGCAAAGGGCTGTTACTCTCTAGATTGCCTACCTCTGTGTTGCTCCATTGCTCCCCTCTGCTTCATATTGATAATACCTGAATGCACAGCAACTAAGGATCGCTTTTCTGGAAGTCCTTACATCTTTTCAGCAAGGTTCAACTTGTGCCGCGAAAAGAGTCTAGTTCTCTGAATATGTGGTTCTTTGTAAGACGACGGTCCTTCATCATTGTAGTTGAGACTTTATAGCATTGTTTCAACCATACTGCTCAAGACGAAATTGTTCCAGTACACTTTTAGAGCAACGCATTGGTAAACCTGATGGACGGTTTCTTTCAGACGCAATGTCGCATAGCCTATCACTACTTGCTATTTCCATGGCAAATATTCTTTATCTACACTAGTCAGACCATTACAGATAGGATATGAAATAGTCCTTCCACTGCGTTATCTAACCTCTTTATCCCCATAATTTTTATGAGTTATATAATATAATTAATATAACGCATAATTGCTAACAGATTGAGGCACCCTATAACCTATAACAAGTTTGGCTCTCGAGACAATTGACGCGTTTGTAATAGTTTGTCAAATAAGAATAAGGCTTCTATCCCTCCGCTCTTGACTCACTTTGAAGTGCTAATAAAGCAATGTTTTCTTTATACATTCTCTTCAAATTCGATTTTTGACTAATCTGGGGTATTCCGACCCGACTTTTCACTTACAAATGAGTCTCTATTGAGTGATACCATCATCTCTAAACTGGATCCTCTCAAGGAATATCGACTTGATGTTATCCCTGCAAAAGAAATGTGCACCTGAATGGTCCTCGTTTTCTCTAAACTCTACAACAAATGCCTTGATGCTTTTTGCTTTCCTGCTTGTTGAAAATTCTCTTCCGATGTTCAAGTCTTTAAGAACTTAGGCCAACTATCTGATCCGTCTAACTATCGGCCTAGTGGCTCTAATTAATTTTCAATTGGTTAAGCATTTCACCCTGCAGGACTTTCTTTCAGAATAGCAATATGCCGTTCGCTTCTCTAGGACAACTGCTGATGTGTTAACGATTATTGCTGAAAGAGTCTATGAAGTTTTAGATAAGGATAGTTTAGTTCGGGCAATTGCTTTGGATATCTCGAAGGCATTTGACATACTGGTCTTCTTCAAAAGTTGGAAGGTTATTACTGGAGGAATTTTTGAACTGATTCTGTCTTTCTTATCAAAGAGCGAATTTAAAGTTATCTTGAATAGACAGTCTTTTAGATCTTTTTCTATTAATGCAGATGTTACCCAGGGCTTTACTCTTACACTGACGTAATTTTCATAAACGACCTTCCTGATGCCGTCATGTCTAAACTCAGTATCTATGTGGATGACACAACTATTTACTCCTCTCTTAATAGTACGTCTGATCGATGGGATACAAGGAAATTGGCAACTACTCTCAGAAACCGTCCTAGGTTTGACGATAAACCACATCTGCGTCCTGAGTAAGATGATAAACTAAGTCCATCAGCAATACCTCTGATCAGATGGCTTTGAGGAGCGTGGAATCACTTCTTAATTGCTGTTGTTCCCAGGTCCACCCTGACCTGGGGTGGTAGCACCTGTTAGGGTCCCAGCTATAGGCAAATAGTTAACCCTTAATCTGGGGTCAAAATGAAAATGTAAAAATAGGTTTTAATACCAGAAATACTTTTTGTACAAAGATATAACCAGAAATACATTATTACCAACAATACATTTTTGAAAAACAAATATTAGCGGCTATATATTTTTCTTTTTTTTTTTTAAATATTAGCAGTAATAGATTTTTGCGGAAAAAAATATTACGAGCGATAGATTTTTGATTAAACAAAAATATTACCAATAATAGTTTTTTGTAAAGAAATTACCAGCAATACATTTTTGGAAAAGAAAAAATATTACCAGTAATACATTTTTTGAAAAATATATATTACTATCAATAAAAAAAAAAATTGAGGTTGATATACCGTAAAACAAACCTAGCCAAACCAAATACTCTCAGAAATGTCCTATAGTTTGTTGTTAAATGGGACAAGGGATGACTTGGCATCTCGGCTTCAGTCACTTTCAGCTGCCTGAAAGGTTATTGGCCCTGACTTGGCATCTCGGCTTCAGTCACTTTCAGCTGCCTGAAAGGTTATTGGCCCTGACTTGGCTTCCGTCACTTTCCGCACCTGAAGGCTTATTGGCCCTGACTTGGCATCTCGGCTTCAGTCACTTTCCGCTGCCTGAAAGGTTATTGGCCCTGACTTGGCATCTAGGCTTCAGTCACTTAACGCCGCCTGAAAGGTTATTGGCCCTGACTTGGCATCTCGGCTTCAGTCACTTTCCGCTGCCTGAAAGGTTATTGGCCCTGACTTAGCATCTCGGTTTCCGTCACTTTCCGCCGTCTGAAAGGTTATTGGCCCTGACTTGGCATCTAGGCTTCAGTCAATTTCCGCCGCCTGAAAGGTTATTGGCCCTGACTTGGCATCTCGGCTTCCGTCACTTTCCGCCGTCTGAAAGGTTATTGGCCTTGACTTGGCATCTAGGCTTCAGTCACTTTCCGCAGCCTGAAAGGTTATTGGCCCTGACTTGGCATCTAGGCTTCAGTCATATTCAACTGCCTGAAAGGTTATTGGTCCTGACTTGGCATCTCGGCTTCCGTCACTTTCCGCCGTCTGAAAGTTTATTGGCCCTGACTTAGCATCTCGGCTTCCGTCACTTTCCGCCGTCTGAAAGGTTATTGGCCCTGACTTGGCATCTAGGTTTCAGTCACTTTCTGCCGTCTGAAAAGTTATTGGCCCTGACTTGGCATCTAGGCTTCAGTTACTATCCGCTGCCTGAAAGGTTATTGGCCCTGACTTGGCATCTAGGCTTCCGTCACGTTCCCCCCGCCTGGAAGGTTATTGGCCCTGAATTGGCATCTCGGCTTCCGTCACTTTCCGCCGTCTGAAAGTTTATTGGCCCTGACTTGGCATCTCGGCTTCCGTCACTTTCCGCCGTCTTGAAAGGTTAGTGGGCCTGACTTGGCATCTAGTCATATGATAACAGTAACCCTCTATATTGAGTGACTCTCAAGCTCGTATTTAGGTGAACCCGTACGTGATGCCGGTATATGACTCAAGATTCGGCACTGTGTAAAAAGGTAAACATCACTATGGTTTTGCAACCTCGTGTGTTGAGACTGTTGCCGTAAATCATGTATGAATAAAATCATAAGGCTTTGTCTTTTTTGTTGCCGATTTCTCTATCTAAGCTGGCGTCGCAGGTTATGCTGCTTCGTAAGTATGCGAATTCGAGGAATATTTCTTGATATTCGAGGGCGATAAGGACGAGTGATGCATTTCTACGTATATTAACATATCATCAGCTTTTAACTCCGTTCGTTTTACTATTCTCGTGACAATTTTCCTTACAAATTTACGCGTGGACAACGAGAAATTCAAAGGAAGTCGTTCTTAACATATTAGCACCATAAAATATGTGCTAGAGATCTTGAAATGTACATACTTTTATTGAATACCCTGTATATGGTTATATATATATATATATATATATATATATATATATATATATATATATATATATATATATATATATATTTGCGTATGTTTTAAACCGAGCGGGTTTTTCTCTCTGTATGTGTGAGTGTGTGTTTTTGCACGCATGCGTACGCGAGTACAAATTCATGGGATAGAGAAAGACGATTTCGCATTTGCAGGGGCGACGATATCCTGGAAGCATTAAATGCTTGCTATAAGGCTTTTGTGTCATGATTGAATTCCCTTGATATATTTTCTTACTGCCTTGCGATTAAAACATGTTTTTAATTTCTTGTTTGATTTCTTCATTTCTCTTTTGACTGTTGTTTGATGTCTTTGATCAAGTTTTCACCGCTCTTTCTCTCTCTCTATCATACTTTCCCATACTCTCTCCATTTTCCCCTTGCTCTTTCTGTCTTTCTTTCTCTTTTTCTCTCTTCACATTTCCTGTTATCTCTCTCTCTCTCTCTCAATCTCTCCCCACTTTTTACTCTCCCCGTTTTCTCTGACTTTTCTCTCTGCACGTTTCCTCCCGGGCTCTCTCTCTCTCTCTCTCTCTTTCTTTCTTTCTCACTCTCTCTCTCCCCACACACTTTCCTTATTCTGTCTCTGTCTTTTCCTTTCTCTCTTTCTCTACCACTTTCCCTTGTTCTATTTCTTTTTTTCTATCTATATTTCCCCGTTCTCTCTTCTCTCTCCCCCTTCACATCTCTTCTCTTTCTCTCTCTCACTCTCTCTCTCTCTCTTTCTTTCTTCTTTCTTCTCTCTCTCTCTCCCCACACACTTTCCTTATTCTGTCTCTGTCTTTTCCTTTCTCTTTCTCACCACTTTCCCTTGTTCTATTTCTTTTTTTCTATCTATATTTCCCCGTTCTCTTCTCTCCCCTTCACACATCTCTTTCTCTCTCTCTCTCTCTCTCTCTCTCTTTCTTTCTTTTCTCACTCTCTCTCCCCCCACACACTTTCCTTATTCTGTCTCTGTCTTTTCCTTTCTCTCTTTCTCTACCACTTTCCCTTGTTCTATTTCTTTTTTTCTATCTATATTTCCCCGTTCTCTCTTCTCTCTCCCCCTTCACATCTCTTCTCTTTCTCTCTCTCTCTCTCTCTCTCTTTCTTTCTTTCTCACTCTCTCTCTCCCCACACACTTTCCTTATTCTGTCTCTGTCTTTTCCTTTCTCTCTTTCTCTACCACTTTCCCTTGTTCTATTTCTTTTTTTCTATCTATATTTCCCCTGTTCTCTCTTCTCTCCCCTTCACATCTCTTCTCTTTCTCTCTCTCTCTCTCTCTCTCTCTCTTTCTTTCTTTCTTTCTCACTCTCTCTCTCCCCACACACTTTCCTTATTCTGTCTCTGTCTTTTCCTTTCTCTCTTTCTCTACCACTTTCCCTTGTTCTATTTCTTTTTTTCTATCTATATTTCCCCGTTCTCTCTTCTCTCTCCCCCTTCACATCTCTTCTCTTTCTCTCTCTCACTCTCTCTCTCTCTCTTTCTTTCTTTCTCACTCTCTCTCTCCCCACACACTTTCCTTATTCTGTCTCTGTCTTTTCCTTTCTCTCTTTCTCTACCACTTTCCCTTGTTCTATTTCTTTTTTTCTATCTATATTTCCCCGTTCTCTCTTCTCTCTCCCCCTTCACATCTCTTCTCTTTCTCTCTCTCTCTCTCTCTCTCTCTTTCTTTCTTTTCTTTCTCTCTCTCTCTCCCCACACTTTCCTTATTCTGTCTCTGTCTTTTCCTTTCTCTCTCTCTACCACTTTCCCTTGTTCTATTTTTTTTTTTTCTATCTATATTTCCCTGTTCTCTCTTCTCTCTCCCCTTCACATCTCTTCTCTTTCTCTCTCTCTCTCTCTCTCTCTCTTTCTTTCTTTCTCACCTCTCTCTCCCACACACTTTCCTTATTCTGTCTCTGTCTTTTTCTTTTCTCTTTCTCTACCACTTTCCCTTTGTTCTATTTCTTTTTTCTATCTATATTTCCTCGTTCTCTCTTCTCTCTCCCCCTTCACATCTCTTCTCTTTCTCTCCCTCTCTCTCTCTCTCTCTCTCTCTCTCTCTCGCATAATCTTTCAACTCAAACCCCGTTCTTTATTTTTATTTTCCTCTCTTCACTTTTCCTGTCCCCCACCCCACCACGATTTTTCTCTTTTTCTCCGATTTCTCTCTCTGCACAATTTCTCCATTCTCTGTGTCTCTCTCCAATTTCTCGATTCTTCTCTTTTTCTCCCACTCTCCCCCGTTCTCTCTCTTTTTCTGTGTCTACTTTTTTCTGTTCTCTTTTTTCTTAACTTTACCCCGTTCTCTCTCACTCTCTCCACTTTTCCTTGTTCTTTCTTTTCTCTTTTTCTCTATTCACTTTCTCTCTCTTCTCTCTCTCTCTCTCTCTCTCTCTCTCTCTCTCTCAATGTATCTCTTTATTTATGTACGGTTATCTGTTCTCTCTTACCCTGTCTCTCTTTTTTGTCTTTTCCCATTCTCTCTCTGTCGCTTTCTTTCTCTATATTTCCCATTTCTCTTTCTTCACGTTTTCACTGTTCTCTCTCTGTCTCTCACTTCCCTTTTCGCTCTACTTTTTCCACATCTTATCTCTCTCCACGTTTTTTCCGGTTGCGCGCTCTCTCTCTCTTTCTCTCTCTCTCTCTCTCTCTCTCTCATTCAACTTTCCCCAGTCTGCCTCTCTACCACTTCCCCGTTCACGCTCTCTTTTTCTTTCTCTACTTTTCTTCGTTTTCTTTCTCTTTCTCTGCATACATTTACCCTTTTTCCTCTCCCTATCTCTCTCTTTATCTCATTCACTCTCCACTTTTTCCAGTCCTCCAATCCTCTTTCACGTGATCTCTCTACTTTTCTCCGTTTTCTTTCTTTCTCTCCCTACATTTACCCTTTCTCTTTCGCTCGCTCCCTCATTCTCTCTCCACGTTTTCCAGCTTTCCCTCCCTCTTTCACTTTCACCCTCTACTTTTCCCCCGTTCTTTCTCATTCTCTACAGTCTTTTTCTTTTCTTATTGCCACCCACGTTTTTATCCAGCTCACTGCTTCATTTCATCTCTTATTCGCTCTTGTATTATCTCCCTTCCATCTTGAACTCAACTGAACATTTCGATTGGTTCCCTATTTAGCACTTAGTGACACTTCTTGCTTGATCCCCACATGAATTTTCTGGATTTCCTCTCAGCGTCCATTTTTGCCTTCTTTTATGCATCGCTACTCAATATCATTCAGCCTAATGAGATTAGAACAGAAAACATCCTCGTTGCGTTTATATCGCTATGTGTTCTTATAAGAAAAACGCAGTCGTATAAGTGACAATCTAACATATCACGATACAAAGGTTAAAATAACTTAAATACACAAGTTGGCTGCTAAGTAAATATCGAATCTCAAAGTATATAGATAAAAACTCAATTAAAACTATAATATATATATATATATATATATATATATATATATATATATATATATATATACACACACACACACACACACATATATATATATATATATATATATATATATGTGTGTGTGTGTGTGTGTGTGGTCTTATTGGCAAAAATAAACAGACGCGCCTTGTCTATTTACATAAAATGAAAATAAAGTGATAGATAAAATTACATATTTTAAAGACACACAAGCACATACACAAACACACCGACGACACACACTCACACACCCATATATATATATATATATATATATATATATATATATATATATATATATACTGTGTGATTCTAAAAATATTTACTGCTTTTTAAAGCTGAATAGTTTTAAACAACACAGATTTTTTTTTGTTTTTGTTCATCATCACCTAAAAATATTTTTAATTTAACGTCTTCGTATTCCAAAATTAAGATTTTGCCACGAAAGTTCACGAAAATGAAATTTTGCCAGTCGTCAGAATCATGTTGATAAAAGAAAATGTGATGGTTTTATATATATATATACATATATACATACATATATATATATATATATATATATATATATATATATATATATATATATATATATATATATATATGCATGTATGTATGTACGTATGTATGCATGTATAAAGGAAAATATACAATAGAAAAACTGTAATTTTAGCCGACATGTTTCGTCCAATGTGAACTTATACAAGAAAAAAAAACGAAATGAATTTATTGAAACAAAGTATCTATAAACAACAAACAAAATGTCGTTAGCAACTAGAAGAATTTAGAAATGCTATGATATATTATATATTCATATATTATTCTCTCTCGGACAGATTTATTTTTACTCCAGAGGGAGTGGCGTTCCTTCTGAGAGTTGGCAGGATTGCGTCTCGATTAAGGTACGGGTCTCGCGAAATAGAGTGGCTTTTGCAGCGTGTCTCACTGACGATGGTGCAAGGTAATACTTTCTCCATCATTACAGCAGGTAGAGGAGAGCAAAATAATGATAAATAAACATTTTGTTTTTTGTTTATAGATACTTTGTTTAAAATATATAAATGTGTTCATATGGTCAACGGAAAAATTTCGTCAATTACTTTATGTTTGAAGAGAATATTTTCCCATATAGAAATAGTGTCTGTATTGTTGTGTTGACGGATTCATCCGTTTTCGTTTTATTTCTTGTTGAGTACGTTGGCTTGGGAGAGTAGCGATTCTGATAGGAATGCTGATATTGGGAAAAGACCGAGGCGTAGATTAATAATTGGATAATATTCAATGGCGTCACTCTCGAGGATTTTCCTTCTAAATAAATTATTTTCTTTTTTATGAGTGTAGCATTTTTAAAATCAAAATTGTGGTTGAATTTATTTCTATGTATGTCTAGTACATTTGTTAAAGAATTTAACAGATTCATTTCGTTGCCTTGAAAAAGTTCACTTTGCACGAATCGTCTCGGTTAAACTACAGATTTTCTATTGTTTTTTTTTTTTTCATTTATACATATTGTTTTAATTATGATAATTTTTTTATTTATATATATATATATATATATATATATATATGGGTAAGTAGCAGGACAGATGTGATCCCATAGACTTGAGTGGCGAACGGTCTTGTCGATGGATGACTATGAATTCAAAACATGCGGAGGTTCGTTTAGAGAACTTGTAGTATACTGTGCACCGGTTCTCTGTATTCGGCTCTTCCAAAACATGTGATAGGTTGTTTAGAAGGCTTCACCACTATAATCAAATGGCATGTGTGGATATTGTTACTGTTGATTTTGCTTGACACTCATATGGCGCGAACGACGAAAAAGTCTAGAATTTTTCTGTCTATCTATCTATCTATCTATCTATCTATCTATCTATCTATCTATCTAGGCAAGATATCTACATTCAAACATGTGTCATAGAATAATATAGACGCATTATGTCTCATTATTTTCTTAATCATCCTTTGAGGTTATCTAATCACTTTCTGGTGTTAAGATGATATTTATCAAGAAAGGTGACTTAGGTTTTTTCCTACCCAAGTACTTTCGATCTCCTCCAAGGCCATCCTCTGGGTGAATTATTGATAAACTTATTGTAACTGTGATAAAATCTACATTTTGTTGTGATGGTGATTTAAAACAAAATAAACACGCGTTAACGCGCTTCTCTTATAATCATTTAAAATTTTAACTTAAAATAGCAATGGAACTGTTTTTTTTTTTTTTTGCAAAATAAGCGTCCCAATAACTGACCAGAAATTGGTAGAAATGCAATTTTTTTTAAGCGTTTCACCCCAAGCAAGGCGGGAAGCCACTAGGACACAAGGGGTTACAGAAAATTTGGAGCAAGATCAGACAGGAGTAATAGAAGAAAGGATGAGGAGAAGGGTAGTGGATAGATCAAGGCAACTGGAGATGTCGATTGACATTACATTTGAATAGCTGGAGAGTATAGCTCTCAGGGAAATTGGAGAAGGGAAGGGAGTTCCACAAGCAAGAGGTGCGAGACATGAAGCTATTGGAGTAGAAGAGACGGCTACATTTAGGAGTTTCGACAGTGAAGGGGTGAGAGCGGGATGCCAGCCTCGTCGGGCGCTTGAACTCATGAAGTCTGGGAACCAGCGAATGCAGCTCCTCGGAGCAATTGAAATGGCATTAAATGTTTGTTATACAAGAAAATAGATATAATATATCTATATGGGTGTATTAGCTGCTAGTGTAATATAATACATAATACCGGTATAGAATAAGTGCGTGATCAAAAGATCCCTGACTGACCCACATCACAAAATCTGAACAAGCAACCTAATTTTGGGAGAAATAATTTTTGGTCGGCCAACAACTTTTCAACATTCCCTCGTACATTCATCCGTCCATATATATATATATATATATATATATATCAACGTTGCTAGTAACTGACAGTATGTTCTTTGTGTCTAATTTTTGTAAATGTGTCTTCATGCCCGCGTGATTAAGTTAGTAATACAGATCTTTCTAAAAGACAAATTTCCTCCATATATGAAAACTATACTCAGTTGTGCCGGACTGCCAGTACCGCTGTCTCATCTAATCAAAATGTCCATCTATCTTTTTTCCTCTTTTGGATATTTGCCAAATCTTTCAAAAGAGTGACCGCCGTCAAGACTTTTCAACATTTCTAGCTTTCTTTTCTTGATCACCCATATTGGATAGGCACCGTTTTATTTGATAGATAAGTATAAATGCGCATTGACGCACAGATACAAAAACCTTTCTCTATAGATATAAGTTTGCAGTGTTCCAAGACCATTGACCTGGGACAAGAAAATATATACATCAATATACAACGTATTGAATTTCCTGAGCCCACACGTATATATATATATATATATATATACATATATATATATATATATAATAAATGTATACACATTTGAAGTTCTCTAGACTTCATTGGTTTTTTTGTTTTTTGTTTTATTTTTTTTTTTTTTTTTTTTTTTGTTTTTTTTGCTGTGATGTACGAATTTATCTCAGTAGTCGAAAGTTTGTAAAGAAAATGATCTTTAGAAAAGCAAGACCTACGAATTTACAATCTGATGAAATTTTAACACACCTCGAGCAGCATCAATCGTTTTTCATCCCTACCAACATAAATAAATTTCCATGGTTGGGTATGGCCTCAAAGGAAGAGCAGGTTTGAAATTGGAATCTAAGGAATCTAAGACCAACTGCCCTACCAGACAAAATACTCTCATCTACTTGATTTAATCATTTCCAAATTAAAATACGATATTAATTTAAAGTTGTTTTTTATAGTGTGTAATGTTATAACTACTGAATGTTTTTCCACGTCATCTGGTCGCATAAAACACATTAGTGTGCATGGGAACAGTACCATAGAATAAAATTAGTGATAAAAAAAATGATATTTGCTGTTCCTATATTGCTTCAAATATTACTTTTTCTCTTGCTTTGCCGCTATTTTCCAGGTCATTTATTCCGACCTTTCATTCGACCCTATTTTCATGCATCTGTACGGCCCTTTTTAGACGAAACTCATTCGATATGCTTGCAATTTAGCCCTATCGACAAGCGGTCATCCTTTTTAATTCTTTATGCTCATTTTGACATCAATTGAATTTAATACTGTATATTCTTAATCTTTGTTAATACACTTCCTCTGTCTTCTCAAATGAAATTTGAAATATTCTGGACCTTTGGTAAATTGTAAATAGATCAACTAGTTCTACGAGATATCGACTAAATTCATGAATCATTCACGCAAAAAACAAATATAGAGATTAATGATTTAAATGGCGAGAATACATCTTCGCAAACAATATAAATGAGATACATCAACCCCGAACCTGTATATGAATGATATGAACCCTGTTCATAAATTCCAGTTGCATAAGGTCTTTTAATTTTTACAAGCTTTCGTCTGTTCCTACATACATCCTCAGGTATGGAATTAGATTTTGTTATTATTTTTACTTCTCGGTAATATATATATATATATATATATATATATATATATATATATATATATATATATATATATATTGTCATCAACAGAATGCTTCGCTGTTTCAGAGCTCATCAGTGTTGTGCCTAGATATCCGACAGATTCGGCAAAAGTCAGACATTTTCCTCCAAGTTATCAGCGCGATATATATATATATATATATATATATATATATATATATATGTGTGTGTGTGTGTGTGTGCGTGTGTGTGTGTGTCCGTCCGTCCTAGTCTGTCATCTCGTCTACAGTCACTCTCACAGACGTGCTGTGGCTTCCTCTGTCTCTATTTTATATTTTCATGCCAACTGCTCTGACGAGCAACTTTCAGTGTTCCCTAAAACTGCATGAATTTAAGCGTGCTATTAGGTTGACATCTCGGTCCAAGCCTTTTAATGTCGATTAAATGTAGCCGCCTCTTCTACTCCAACATTATCTCGCACTTCCCGTCTCCCTTCCTCTTGCTTGCTCCCTGATTGCCGTAATCTTCAAATATTGAAAATTAATATCAATCGACAACTTATTATGCCTTGAACCTGATCCTCGTCCTTCCCTATATCCTTTTCTCAAAGACACTCTTTACTCCTGCTCTCACTTACTGTAACCATTTGCGTGCTAGTAGCACTGACGCCTTGCTTGGGGTGATATGCTTAATATATATATATATATATATATATATATATATATATATATTATAAATTAATTGATTTAAAATATTTTTTCGCTACACAGTTCCAACCATGTTTCAAAAAATAGAAGTTAAAAACCCGAATTTAATTTTTGCAATTAAATTAAAAGCATTAGTTCCATTTCATCTTTGAATTTATTTTTATATATATATATATATATATATATATATATATATATATATATATATATATATATATATGGCGGATATTATATATGTATATATGTATATATATGTGTGTGTTTGTGTTTGTCTCTTTAAAGATATATGCAAATATATTGATTTTCTAGGTCGATATGAAGACGCGTCATGCTTCTCGAGGTGTATTAAAAATTCATCAGCTTTAAATTCGCAGTTTTTGCTATTCTCAAGACTATTTTCTTTAAAAACATACGTGTAGACAACTGGGAATTGAAATAAGATCTTACATCTTTAAAAACTTGTGTCTGGACGTCAGGGAGCTGTCATAAGTTCGTACTTAAAATATCAACCCAACATCAACAACAAACATTCAGTTCAGAGACAATCAAACGTGTATGCATTTATTGTCTAGTTGTATATGCGTGTGGGCATAGGCATTTCAATATGTTATATATTGATGTATATTTCTATTTGTCCCAGGTCACTGGGCTTCGAACGCTACAAATAGATCTATAGTGAAAGGTCTGTGTATTTGTGCGTCAATGCGCATTTATACTTATCTATCGAATAAAACCATGCCTAACCAGAATGGGTGATCAAAGACATAAAGCTGGAAATTTTGGAAAGTCTTGACCTCCGGTCTCCGGTTTCCAGTAACATAAAAACATTTAGTCCGATGAAGTCCTAAAGTACGAAATCCATCACACAAAAAAACTTTTTTCAATGTGGTCATACATTTTCCCATATATATATATATATATATATATATATATATATATATATATATATAAAGAAATGTAGTTTTAAGGTGTGGTATATTTATGGGATAAAGTGCTCAATATCGGGAGATAGAGCGTGTAAATATAAAAGTGAACATTGATTGTATTTAATCAAATTATATATATATATATATATATATATATAAAGAAATATAGTTTTAAGGTGTGGTATATTTATGGGATAAAGTGCTCAATATCGGAGATAGAGCGTATGTAAATACGAAAGTGAACATTGAAGTCAATATTCAGAGGCCTGACGATTGCGTCTAGCGTGAAACAGCCTGTCATCTCTAGGTGTTGACTTCAATGTTCCTTTATATATATATATATATATATATATATATATATATATATATATAATTAACACATATAATCAAATTAATTTCTTCGTAGATTGTTTGAAAATTTAGATATTTATCAAACCTTAACCTCCCAAATATGCACGTTAAAGTAACGCGAACTGACAGCGTCTAAGAATTTGAATTAAACCTGTCGTGTAATTTATTGGGGTTGTTGGAACGTCTCCCTTAAGGTATGTTCAGCTGACACACTGGGGTTAAAATAGGAAACTAAATGATACATATGACACAGTCATATCCTCTCTCCCACCTCACTTCCTCACTTCGTTAACTTTGCGTATACTTGATGAGGTCCGTAAAAAAACGTGAATTTCTTTTTCATTTTTCATTTCAGCTTTTGGAAGTAAAGTCTGATGATCCAGAACCCTGTTAAAGGGGTTATGGTGAAATAGCTTATAAATGGAATCTTAACGTGGTCTGTCTTTTATTCAAACATATCTGCTCTGAATTTTACATTGAGATCTCTGGATATCATCCTCCTCAGGTCTACCCATACGGATTACCTAAATTTGCATAAACTATATATATATATATATATATATATATATATATATAATAGTTGGCCACGAGTGATTCGAAGATACCCGTCTACTAGGAGGGGTAACCAATACTAATTTCAAACGCCTGCTCTTTCTGACACAATTTTATTTACCCGACACCCACAGAGCCCACCCGTGGTTTATACTACGACTATGATGAGTGGACCTTAGTTACAGTTAATGGGAGAGATACTGTTATCTAGCTTGATGAACTCTCTGAACAAGACCAGCAAGCTCAAACATCCGGTCACGATGATTTGTGCCTTCATGCTAGCGCAGCCATCGGCGGCACCCAAGGGTTCCCTCTAGCCAATTCCCCTCACATATCTAGGGTATGGTTGTCAGGCACTTTCCAAAGGTACCGCACGCTGAGATCGCCCTCCACCAGGCTAATAATATATAGAATTGCTCCCCGTTATACAGGCGTAAATTTGTAAAGAATTACGATTTTATTTCAATTCCCAGTTGTCCATACGTATGTTTCTTAAAGAAAATGGTCCTGAGAATAGCAAAACCTAAGAATCGTGAATTGTTGATACCTCGAGCAGCATGTCTCATCTTCTACCCATTTCGACCTAGAAAATCAATATATATGCATATATTTTTACACACACGCATATATATATATATATATATATATATATATATATATATATATATATATATCAAGTAAAATTACAATAAATGGAGCATAATTCCACTGTACGTAACATTTAATTTCAAAGAGGGCTCAAGACAGAGTAGAGCTAATATTATTCCTTTTAGGACATTAAACTAAAAACATGTTAAAAATAGCAACACAATTACAATTATGTTTCAGCACTAAAATGTGTTTTCTCGGGCGATGTTAAAATATTGAATAATTTAAAAGACGGCTCAAGACAGAGCATAGCTAATTATTATTCATTTTAGGATATTAAACCAAAAACATGTTAAAAATATCAACACACAAGTATGTTTCAGCACTACAAATGTGTTTTCTCGTGCGATGTTAAAATACTGAATAATTTTTTTTTTCTAGAAAAAAATACAGAATAAAGATAGGCTTCTGGCCTTTGCCGTGATTAAACAATCTATTGTGGCCTGCGCTAAATTCAAACACACCGAAAATATTTTTAGTAGAGATCATGACCTTAAAGTTGTCTGCATATAA